CCCCCCCCCCCCCCCCCCCCCCCGTTATTTTGCTGCAGCCGGACTGCGGCAAGTCACAACAAACCATTCCAATTTTACTGCTGTATGTGACAATAGTCTGAAAGCATGCCTTACCAGACAGATGATGACTGCCATTCAGATTCTGCCTCCAGCAATTGCCTAGGATTCCCTGAAATGGGAGGACTCAAAGTATTCTTTGGCCCCTCAGAAAACAGCCAGAGGACTGAGTATGCAAGGTCACCAGCCTCAATTTCATCATTTGCTTTTCTGTTTTTCAATGCTATTTGCAAAGAACTTAGAGCAGTCTGTGTCACACGTTGTTTTTCATTCTTTTTAGATTAATGAGGTGGTCTGCTCAAGTTGGATGGGCCAAATTAATGAATGCAGTTTGTATCATCAAACAAAGCAAATCAATGATTTTTAACTGGCCAAAGAATCTTGGCATAGGAGGTATGTGAGGAAATAATGTGAGGTCAGTAATCCGAATGCTGCTCTTTCCTCCCACATTGGGTTTTCACTGTGACACAGTGACTTGGGATGAAGGTCCAGCTTTGCCAGAAACAGGAAAGGCTCTCATTTTGACACATCTGTTTTCAAAGAGTGGTTCTTTCAACTACTGAAACAATCAAAATAAGCTGCTGAATATGAATGCTCCTGCAGGCTGGTGTAATCTTGATTCTCCAAAAGCAGACTATAAGCATATTTTAGGGCATTTAGAAAATGTGTTGTTTTGAAGGGAAAAAAAGATAAGACATCCATCAAGTTTTGACATTACACTGAATTTGCTTTATTTGGGAAGGAACTAACTAAACACTCCATCACAAAAGTCCCGACAAAGATACATGGATGACTGTATTAATGGGACTGTGTCAGAAAGGAATGATAATAAATGGATTCTGTGAGCATATAACATAAATTTCCTTATCTAAAGTAGTGGTGTTTAAATGATGAAGCAAAGATGGCATCAGAGCCGCGGGCTGACTGTCCATTGTATTCTAACTGCCAAAGCATGGAATCTGATCTTACTGCTCTGTGATCTTCCCCTCCCCAAACGTTTGACAGGTTGCTAATAACAGCCAGCCTGCTGCTAAAAATCACCATCAGTGAAGGAACAGAGGTGACAGTATCCACAGAGGAAATGGATATTTAGGAAAACATGAATGAAAGCTGAAGGAATAGATAAAAAAAAGAAAAATCGGTAAAATAAACAAGTAAGGCTGGTGGGGTAGCTCAGTGGTAGAACATTGGCCTCGTATGTGCAAGGCCCTGGGTTCCGAAGCCCTGGGTTTAGTCCCCAGCACTGAAGAAAAAATAAAAAAGGAAAGGATCTGTTATATTTAGAAAATTCGTTTCCTGTATGTCAAATAAGCAGCATCTCCTCACTTGGCTCATTTCCCTTTCCCTAGTCCTTAAGTAAGCAATGAGAAAGACTCTGCTATGAGAAGGTTGACTTGATGATCCAAAATCCTATTAGACAACACTTACCACAAAGGCTCAAGGTCCTGTGGCCCAGGAGCCATGAAGACTCACATTTAGGATGAGGTCAAGAGGAGGCAAAGAACACCTCCAGACACAGGTAATCTCCACAGTGGTTCACAGAGGTACTAAGTGTTACCTTCACCTGACACAGTTCACTCTGATTGCAAATTAACACCTCACAGCTTTTAAAACCGCAAGCCAGTGTTTCCAGAATCTTAGTGGGTGGGGAAGGATCCAGATTCTGGTTTTTAAATCTCCTCAGGTAATACCAATGCACAGTCAAAAGGCTAAAAACCACTCACCTAAGTCAATATGCTG